CTTCCGAGGTCCCTTCCAACCCTAGTGTCTATGAAATCTATGAAATCTATGAAGTATAGATATTCAAAAATCCCAAGTCAGAATCTATCTAATTTATGTGGATTTCTCTAAGATGAATAGATTGGAGCGAGAGTGAACAAAACTCATGTTCACCCTTCAGTGGGGGACGGCAGGTAGATGCCTGCACTGGCTAAGGCCAGAAGGCAGGGGGCACTCCTGCATACCTCTCAGCATGCTGGAGGTTCCCAAGGGCACCTGAGTGCAGATGAATGGTTGTGCCATCCCTTATTGGCTGGCAAGCACATGCCTCCCCCCACCACCCTGCCATTTGTCAGACAGGTGCCAGCTACAGGCAGTCAATGGAGGGAGACATACTTGTCCCCCCCCACCACCACCACCACCGCTCGTGGCAGCATGGGAGTCCCTGGGCTTTGCCCAGGTGGGAGTCTGGAGGTCCACCCCAAGAAGGATAGAAGCAAGCGGGGGAGTGGGGCTCATGAGCTGCTGAGCGAAGTGGTGTCAATGGCACACACTGCGTTCCCAGCTTGGCAAGGGGGCGGGGCACAGAGTGTCCCACTCCTGTCCCAGGTCCTTCTGAACCCCAGAATCATACACTGAAGCAGCTCCAGAAAGGACTTGAAGGATTTCCCCCAACCAGTCAATACTGAGTTTCTGGCTGAAACTGTTTCCCCTGCAGGTGTGGGCTCTGATCCTGAGGCAGGTGTGTGTGGGGAGGGGAGGGGGGGCAGCCATGTCCTTGTAGCTGCACCGGGAAGTGACTTCAGCCCTGAACATGGCACTAGCATGTGGAAGAGGGGAAGTGGGGAGTGGAATCCTCTAAGCCCTTCCTGGAGCTGCTCCAGTGCATGGTCCTGGGGATCAGATGGAACTGGGATAAGGGAGGAACACTCTATGCCTCCTCAACCTGATCCAGGAATGCAGGGTGCACTGCTAGCATGCCTAGCACTACCCCCGCCCAAGCAGCTTGTGAGCCCTGCTCCACCCCCTTCTCTGTCCTGCCTGGGGTGGATGCCCATGTCCTCACTTTGCACAAAGCCCAGGGACTCCTGCCATGAGGTGGTGGTGGGAGAAGGGTGGGGCAAGCATACCTCTCTCTGCTGGTTTTCTGTAGCTGACTCCTGCTTTACAGTTACATGAAATAACTTCTAGATAATTAACTTTTCCATCATGTTGGCACTTTGTGGTTAGATATTTCTTCAGTTAGGTACATAGTTACTCATACCGTTTTATTTTTTTCTTTTCTTAGCATGTGTGTGTGTGTGTGAGTACTTCTTAATATTTTTCTTCCCTAAATCTTCATTTGCAAAAAGGAACTGGAAAAGTTACTTCGAAGGATTTCATACTGCTCATTCTTCCCAAATAGTCTAAATTTTTTCTCATCCAAATTTTCAACCATAAGTAACTGACTTGCCCCTCAACAATTTGTTTGTGGACCGCCAATGTATGAAAAGCTTGTTTGCTCATCCAATCATGTATCTATAGATAAGTAAATAGATAGACAGACATGCATACATGAATGTGGATTTCAATGGTACAATTTCAGAACTCACTATAAAATCGAGCCTTGTTCTTAATTTCACTTCTGGTCTTTAGATTCTAAATGAAGCAGGTCACTACTGAATTCAAATAAAGTTAACCACTAGTAGTTTAAATTTTCATCTGAGCTGGATAGGTTTGTACCACAAACAATCTGAGCAGCACTCCTATTTCCCTTTACATTCCCAAATGGCACTTATCCAGTCACATAACTGCTGTTTTTTTGGAATTAAATACAGTTTGTGATCCTATTCCACATGCAGTGTGGACACACAGGTATCCACAAAGCTATTTAACATATTCAGCAAGCTGTGCTCTGACTGAGTAGATATGCATGTACCTGGGCAAGCATAAGTCAGAGCTATGCACATTAGAGAGGGGATTAATCCTTAAGATGTGACTGTTCATGTGCTAACTTTAATACTGCATAACATTTCTAGGAGTAAGCATAGGCAAACTATAATGTGTAACAGCACCTTTAGTTGCTCAGGGAGCCATCTTCAAGAAGAGAGCTGGATAATATCTAACCTATGATGTGGTGACTAAAGCGTGGCTATTATTTCAAGATTTACGCTGACCAAGGTAAGTGTATACAATACCACATACCTACAAAGCCAAAATTTGTGTGTCCATATGTACCTGGAACAGATCACAAATGCTGTGTGTCAAAAATGGCAGCTATGAAGTTTGTTAAGGGACATTTGGGAGGTAAGGTAAAATAGGACTCTGTCCCCAGCTTTTATTTTGATTATTGTGGGAACTGACCTTGCTGCAAACCTCTGCCAAAGCAGTACCCAGTAGGGATGAAGGAAAGCATTAGGGAATTATAGCATGCAAAGTTGTATTGTGGAACCCTCTCAAATCATTCTAGTAAAACATACATGTCCCCAGACATCTTCCTGGTACCCTGCCTGGCAGTCAGACTCATGTTTATCCAGTGCTTAATCTGGTTCCACCTAGACAATATGGCAACAGTGTACAGGGTAAGGGAAAATTGTTTTCCAAAGAATATAGAATGGCTTGAAAGTTGGCTATATATAGTTAATAGCTTTTTTAAAACATTCAAGAATATTTTATTCCAACTAAAGACAAAAGAACAGAGGTTTTCTCAGACAGTTTTTTCAATGAATCTCAGTCCTACTTAGAGGTTTACTCTACTGAAGTCCTTGGTAGAACTCAGTCTTTCTTAGAGTTGCACTCTATTGAAGTTGATGGAAGTTTTCCTGATGACTTCAGTGAAACCAGGATTTCATCTTGTGTGTTCTTTCTGTCCTGTGCATAAATGAGGACAAAGATAAATATTTCAAAGTTGTCTTCCTTACTGACCTACTACAGGATATGATCTTAAGTCCTGCTTGCCCCAGCTACATCTAAGTTGTTGTCTTCTTGATTAAGTTAATCAAGTGCTTAGAGACAGTGTCAGAGTTGACCTTCTGTCCCTTATCCACGGCAGAGTCACATCATGGACTGCAGCAACAGAAGCTGTCTCCCACATTATCAATATAATGTATTTCTTACCCAGAGGGACTGTATTCGAAAATGCAAGTGCTGCAGATAGGTACAGTTATTACATAAAGTGTTCCTTCCATTAGGGAGGTGTAAGAGACTGGGGCATATGTGATCTGGCCTAATGGTCAGACCACTGAGTGAAAGCAGGTGCCTGGGACTGAGTCAAAGGATGGGTGCCATATTACCAAAACCAGAGGGAAATCTAGGGACAGAGTCCACAGCACAGTCCATGGTCAAATTATGGAGATTAGATATTGAGTACCAATCTGAGAGATAATTCACAGACAAAGTCCAAGAGCACATCCAAGCTGGGGTCAGGAGCCAGGAAACAGATACACAGGGAAATCTAAAGCTGAAATCCAGAAATAAGCCAAACCAGGGTCAGGAACCAGGAGGCTTGCGACAGCAGAGCTATTGACTGGCCTGCGAACCCAAGGCCCCATTTGCCACTAAATTAATAGGCAGTCCTCCCAGCAGCCAGTCAGGATGCTCACTGTTCCTAAACTGGGGCAGAGTTCATTAGCTGAGGCTTACTGAAATACTTGTCCCAGGAAGGCCTACCTGATCAGTCTTTGACAGGAGGCAGTACTGGAAACTAGGAGATGGATTCTAGTTCACCTGCATGGCATTTATATAGACTTAAATCACCTAAATGTAATTCTATTCCACTCCGTTCATGTCCTGAGAATCCTCTAATGCATCTCCTTTTGTAACACAGATAATATAGCTTGATGGAAACTGTCATGCCATGTGACTTGTTTCATGTTCATAGGACAAGCTTTCCAGAGTAGGGAAAAAGTGCCCTGAGAACTTTCCAGCACTTGTCAGCAAGAGGATCTGGAGAGCTACTTGCAGGGACTGTCATCCCCCTCCTATAACTTCAGCTTTTCTGCTAATAAGAAGTCAGCTCTGAGCTCCCCCTCACCCCGCCAAGGCAGAGCAGGGAGACAATAGGACCTATGGGGTTTGAACTCTACTAGAATCCCTCTGATATAAGTGATTGGAAACTAGTTCAAATCTGTAACACAACGGATGTTCAGTGTGCATAAACCACTTTCAAAATGGCCAAAATTAGTTTAAAATAAACCTGGATAGATGTAGTGTTAGACTTAACCAATTTAGGTTAAATTG